GATAATTACCTGAATTACCTACCTCTACCACTGGAGAATAAACAAATGAATATCTGAATTTTTAGTTATTTAGCGTACGTGTATTCTTTCATGTTATTGTCTTGACAAATTGTCAAACAATACAGGGAGTATCAGGTATGAGTACAAATATTTCAAGATGAGGTAATATGGCTCATTTCAAGCTAAGACTGTCCTATTAAGGCTATTAATCATAAGTCAATTGTTAGTATTTTCGGAGCTTATTTCCACCTGTTTCCGTTTTGGTTTGTTATTCGCTTTCAATGGGCTTGTTACCGATATTTTTTTTTCGTTATTTTTTCTATATTATTCAATTGAATTCGATCATCTTAATAAGCTGTTAAAATTTCAGCTTCATAGGTTTATCCAATTCTTAGATATTCAATGTTAAAGATTGGGTTTCGGGAAAAAGCGCGCTGCCGAGTCGTGACGTCATTCTGCATGAAGACGACGCGGGCACCCGTTCGCGAACGCGTTTTGAGTCTGCTTTTCGACAGTTGATTTTGACTTTGGTGACTTGACAGTTACTAGAGGTGTTTATTTTAAATTTTCTGTTATTGTTATTAATTATTTTAGAGTATTCAAATTTGGACTATTTTAATAAATTTGATTTACTAGCAATGTTTTCGGTTGATAGAGGTTTCATAAAAGCAGATTCTGGTAATTTACCAGAAGTAGATATGTTTATGGTTTTTGATTATTTCAATAAACATAAAGACTTTATAAGTGCAGAAATGAGGGGGATAAAGTTGCTTAGGTAAGTAAAAAATATTACTCTCAATGCCTGTTTTATATTTAATTCCATATTAAAAATTAAATTAGAAATTAAACTGAAATAAAGTTTGTTTTTTTTTTGTTCAGATAACTGAAGGAATCGTAATAGAGTAAATAAATAATATGGTACTTTACCCAGATGCTCTAATATATTTCAAAGAAAAACTTTCGATTTCAGGTCTGGCAGACAAAGCTATGGTGATAACGCTATTGGATATGTACAACTCAAACAACAAGCAGCGCTTTGTGAATTAAAAGCTAAAATCACCCCAGAACACAAAATAAAATCGAAAAATTATACTGTGCTCTGTGTTATTAATACTGAAGAAAAGGAAGTTGTTAATACAAAATGTCAGGATTGTGCTGCGTCTGAAGGAGGGTGTAAGCATGAAGTTGCATTTTTGATGTGGCTGCATCGACGAAGCGAGGAACCTTCTCCGACAGAGAAAATCTGTTATTGGAAAAAATCAAAGTTATCATTGGCTCCAACAACAAAAAAAAGTATTTCCCCAGCTGATTTTGGAAAAAAAATTACAGCTACTTATGATGACTCGGTGTTGCTAGAATATATTAGTGAAGCCAAAAAGCAAAAGGTAGAAAATAGTTTAATGCGATATCATAGCACTGACAAATATTCCAATCTTTCAATCCATAACCTTGCTATTGCCTTTAAAAATTCTGCACCACAAGGAAAAAATTCAAAACTTTTTATAGAATTTTGTAAAACCAAAATGAAAGCTGAATTAATTTTGGAGGTAGAAAGAGATACCAGAAAACAAAGTGATAGTATCATTTGGCAGGAAATGAAGTATGGACGGATTACTGCATCAAAAGCTCATAGTGTTACCAGATGTAAAACTGTGGATGGATGCTTAGTAGAAAGCATTTTAGGAGCAAAATTGATTCAAACTAAAGCAATGAAGAGGGGACTATATCTAGAAAATGACATTGAAATTATTAGAAAAACAAACTGGACAAAGGTTCTTTAAAGCGGGAATATTCCTTTCCCAACAAAATCCATTGATAGGTGCCTCTCCAGATGCTATCAACAAAGAATTTGTGGTTGAAATTAAAAGTCTAACTACCGAAAAATCATGCCTAAATTACATAGATTCAGATGGAAATATTAAAGAAAAATGCTTGTATCAAATTCAAATACAAATGTATCTCAGTAAAAAAATGCATGGAATTTTTGTTATGTCGCATCCCGATTTTGAAAAATCAAAAAAAATTACAATAAAATATTGCGATTTTGATGAGGAACTTGTTAAATCAGTAATAAAACAACTTGATGAATTTTGGCTGGACAACATTTTTAATAAAATTATGTGAAATATTATTTTTGTTTATTTTACTAAATAATCTTGTAAATTAATTACCCCACAAACTATTTGCACTATTAAATCTAAATATTTCCCTAAACTTAAATGAACCGCAGCATGTGGTTGAAGAATAGCAAATTCCCTTATTCTGGAAATCACTCGTTCTACATGTATTCTCAAGCTTGCAATCCTTTTTGACTCCTTAACTTCTTGCTTAGAACTTTTTTGGCCAGACGAGACAGATGGTGGTCTAACCAATTGATTATTATTGGCTGCAAGTTGGTCTTCGAGATGCTTAAAGCCTCTGTCGGCCATCACCTGGGCGCCTGGATTCAAGTTTTTTAAAAATGTCGATTCCTCGACTATCATTTTATCAGTACTTCTACCACCAAAACCAGAAGAAATATAAGTAATGAATCCATTTGGTGTACATGCTATTAAGTATTTCATAGTGTTACAACCTTTATATTCTGACCATGAGAGGGACTGTAGTATTGGGTCACTTGGTTTTTGTATTGAGATTTCAAAACAATCAATAATACATTGGACATTTTTATATCGGTGCCTAAAGGGAATAGGTAGTTTTTCTTGAACCTCGGATAATGATTTAAACTGAACAAATGGATAAAGGCAACCAGCTAGTAACGGTATTGTTTTTTGAATAATATTACATATTTTAGCAACTTTTATACTAAAATCATCGGCTAATATTCTGTAGGATAAATTCAGTTTGATTTTTTTTAGAGTTAAAAAAATATCCAATCTGTCCAATCTACATTTTTCAGCTAGCATATTCACAATGAATATTGAATGGCTAGGAATACCTAAATAAAGTTTTGGATTTTTTTCTATCAAAAAAAATGTTCTCTTTTGTATCTCTTCTGGAAAATTTATATGCTTTCCACAATCCGAATTTGAATTTGACACTGAGGACACGCTCAGTTCTGATGATAAAATGAATGTTGATGTAGAGCCGCTTGTAGAAACTGAATCGTTATTAGTGTTTTCTTCCAACCGCATTTCCTTCGGAGCCCTTTTCTTAAAAGGACATTTTCTTTTTTTTCCAGTATTTGGGATTGGCAAGTCTTCACTTGTACACTGTACTCCCTTGCTACGGATATTAGCCTTAAATACAACTTGAACGCCCATATCTTTAAACTTTGGTTCCATTTCCACCACATTTTCCTGCTCGACGATCTCATTCTGAATCAGTGTTGCCAACCTATGATTTTATTATTATAATACAAACCTTCAAAAATTATTATACATTATTAATTTTCGATTTAGACATTATTATACAAATTATCATACACAAAATATTAAGTTTTTTTCGTTATCTTGGTTATATAGTAGCCTTGTTTGTTTATTTGCTTGCACCAAAGTTACACCAGAAGCTGCACTAGATCAGTGAAAGTGAAAACAGACTACAGAGACAGACGTTTAAACATCATAATTATGACTTTGAAATTTGAGTTGTTGTCGTCATCAACGTCGAACGTCAACTCAAATAAAAATAAATATAAATATAATTATTTTTAATATATTAATTATTAGTTATTATTTTGTTTCATTATTTGTTAATTTAACAATAACCAAAATAGAAAAAAATTAGTAGGTATAGGTATAATAACCATTTTATAAAACATTTTATATGATTTGGCTTGTAGAAAACTTGGGGCTTTGATTTTAAATTGCAAAGAATATTTGGATTTATAAATAAAACAGGATTAATATACTACTAGAGAGTTTATTCTTTGGATTTAGGTACAGGAACGATCAAATACTGACACAGTTAATATTATATATAGGGTAGTATAACTTACTACTAACAAGTTAATTCTTTGGATTTAGGAACTAGCAAATACCGTGAATCTTGTTATTCAACAAGGTTTACTTATTCTATTTCAAAAATTGTATCTTCTATGCCTACATTGTCTATCAAACTTTCACTATTTTTAGTGTTTAAATAAATAACATCTTTTCTCATATCGGATATCATTTTTGTACTGGGCTCAAAGTTCACACAACCCTTACTTCTTTTAATTGATTGATTTGTCAGAAGAATGCCATTTACAGTGTTTGTAATTAACTTATTCCTTATGTTCGTCTTTGTCAAATTAGCTTTTGAAAACACCCTTTCGACATCAGCATTTGAATGCGGGAATGATAGTAGAGACAGAACAAATTCACCCAAGTTTAAATATGGTCGATTTCCCTCATGGTCATGAAGATGATAAATTTCTGACCAATATTGGTCAATTTCAATATCAGGATTGTTTTTGACTACTTGATAGTTATCATTTGTAATAGACAGAGTTCTCCACTCATCATCAATCTTCTGAATTTTTTCTTCCTCACAAATCCTGGGGGCTAATTTCAGTAATGAAATTATAGATTGAGGCCTGTTTTGGCATTTTGGTTCAAAAATATAAATTTCAGCTAGGAAGGTATTTGAAAAATCATATCTTTTCTTTATTTGCATGCACGCTGTAACAATAAAATGTTGAATTCTAGAGAAAAAGTCTTTTTCTTGGGTTTCATTAAGGTTGTTTTTATTATTTAAAACTTCATAGCCAACATATATATTTTTAATTGGAATAAAATGCTCTTTTGCCTCGGGATTAATATCTTCCAATTTGTTTTTATGAATATATTGTGGCTGCATATAGCATAATAAAAGTTCTTTATATAGATTACTCATTTTGGAATGAAGAGAAGTTAAAACCACTTTTTCACTTTGAAAATAAGCATTCATTTGACAAAATTTTGGAAGTATCCAATCCAAAAAATAATAAAAGAGCTTATTTTCTGGATTTCTTAAAGCATTCAATATAAGTTCAGATTGTGTGAGTCTGTGCTCCTGATAACTGTTTGTAAAATATAATTCTAAAGCCCCCCATTGTTTTTTTTATCCTGCTTACAACCTGTCCCAATGACAGCCACCTTGTCTGAGCAGGCCTCAATATTTTATGAGGCTCAACGTTACAGAACTCCTGGAACTCACCAAATTGCGCCTGTCTTTTTGAGCTGTGATTAAAAAAAGTATATATGTCACGTGCCATAGCTTCAGTTTCTCTCGGTAGCACTTTACAAGCCTCGCTGGCACAGAGGTGAAGGGAATGGCAGATGCATTTCGATGTGAAAATACCCGGGAAATCTATTCTCAATCTTGAAACAACAGAATTGTTAGCGCCAAACATTACATTACAGCCATCTGATCCAAATCCGATTACATTTTCTAATGGAATGTTTTGTTTTTTAAAAAATCCTACTATCTCATTGTAAACTTTTTCTGCTGTGGCTCCTTGGTGAGCACCTAAAAAAATAAAATTTTGACTTTTTTTAAACAGTTAATGAAACCAAATTTTACCTTCAGAGTCTTCTTTAGAAAAAACTTGCATCAAAGATAAAAAACTAGTTTTTACAGCTTTCTGGGATTCACAGTAGTATCTTACACATATGGCCATTGTCTTTATCGCTGCAATATCAGTTGATTCATCAACAAGTATGCTGAATTTGACCTTTTTTAGAGTATTGACAAGATCACAAAATTCGTTCTGCCCAATTACATTTTTGGTAACTCCAAGTTCTACCAAGTTTTACATTTTTAAGAATATTTGAATCCGGAAAACAGTCTTGAAGAAGGGGAACTAGGTGGTCATTTGCCAAAAATGCAATGTTGTGTTCAGCTAGAAAACCACATAACTTCAGTTCAGCCCTTTTGACCTTGCTATCAGTTGCATTTTTTTTAATAAAATCTCTTAAATTCAGTTGACACTGTATATTTTTCACATTTTGCTGGTGTTTTGCACCTTCACCATGTCTTTTTATCACACCAATATTGGCTCGTAAAACTCTGGAGCATGCTGAACACTGACCTTGCCTTGGATTATCTAAATTAAACACGATTGAATTAAAAACACTTCCAAAACTCAATTATGATGTTTTCTAAACCTACGCACATACCATTTACGGGTTTAAGCCACTTGAATTCGGACTCCCATTGAGATCTATATTTTTGATCTCTACATTTTCCAGATGATGTGTGTATTTTTCTTTTTTTCGCTCCTCTAGAGCTGCCAGGATTATCGCGTTCATCACTATCGATATCACTATCACTGCTATCAGACAATTCATACATTTTAATTTTTAAAAACTGGCAATAAAATAAAACCGCTTGGCGCTTATTAGGTTAGGTTAGGTAGGTATTTATGAATCTGCGCTATGATGAAGTTAGCTGTAGAGTGCTTGAAAAGGCGCCAAAATCTTCTGGCGCTTTCTACTAAGTTATGCAACCTAGCAACACACAACACAACATAACCTTGTTTTTCTTTGCTTTCTGTTGGCGACTATGATTTACTAATTTAGAGAATTTTTTTTTTTTTTTTAAGTATTATGCAGTTTTCGACAAGTTGAAGAATTATTACAAATTATCATACGCTAAAACGTTACAATACGCATTCGTAAAATTACAATACAAATTAATAATTATCATACGGTTGGCAACACTGTTCTGAATAGATGCTTTAGAAAGTAATAAATTACTAATTATAGATTTTTGTTCTTTTTGTTGCAAAACCCTTGATGGTTTCGACTTGTGTGTATTGACTCGACTTTTTTGGCAATCAAAAAACCTTGGTACTACTTTTGGCTTGAGTCTAATATTTCCCTTTTTCATCGTTTTTATGTACATATAATTTTCTATGTCTTCTTTTATCTAAAATAGGATAGGTATAAATGAATTTCTGCTATCACATTGGCATGTTAATAATTAAACTTACATCAAAATGATCTTCACAGCAATGAACGTGGGATTTGTCGGAAACAAAAACATCTCGGCGCATAGCTTTTTGCCAAAGCTTTCTAGTAACAGGATCATAAGGCATGCTGATAAAAAGCTTTTCTGGGGCATTTTCGGAAGTGTTAGGACACTCCGGAACCACACAATATTTTCTAGAACCTTTATTATCACTCATATTAAATAAGATAAACACAAAAATCACAATATAAATATAAACGCAGTTTGTAAACATAAACACAATAAACGCTTGTATCTCAACTGTCGCACGGCACGATCAGCAGCTGCATAGTGACGTCACACGAAGCTACTCCCCTTTTTCGCGCGGTCCAACTTTCTTAATTTATTTAAGGGCCTAAATGTTGAAATAAAAATCTAAAAATTTGGAGAATGACTTAAAAAGCGTTCCACTTTCGATTTATAAAATAAAAAAAAAATGTTGAACGAGCCCATTAACGTAAATAATACTTTGCATTTTTATCACTTTTCTAGTAAAAATAGGAAATGTGCCGTTCTATTGAGTTGTGATTTGCACTGAATGACTTTTTTGCACTAAACATTCATGAGAAAAATGTTTACCTACGAGCGTGCGGTAAAGTTCACTTTACCGCACGTATTTGCAAATGGAAAGTATCACTTTACCGCACACTATGCGGTAAAGTGCAGTTTACCGCATAGTGTGCGGTAAAGTTAACTTTACAGCATTGTATGCGGTAAAGTAGAATCAGAGTGCGCGGTAAAGTGTACTTTACCGCATAGTGTGCGGTAAAGTAGAATTTGATATTTATAATCAAAAATTCTCTTTTTCAGAAAATAGATTCTTGATCATTTCTAAATCTTATCTAATCTCATTAATTAATCTGATTCATTAATTAATTTTATAAATGCCTTTTTTTGGAGATGTAGATGCTCATAGGTAAAATTTTGTAACTAACACATGCGGAAAGTGCCTTTACCGCCCTTAACGGCTTGACCGAACTCCGCTTCGCGTCGTTCGGTCAACTGCCGTTTCGTGCGGTAAAGTATAACTTTCCGCATTTGTTAGGTAAATAACTATTACACACTTACACTTCCCATATTACGCAATCTTTGTAAAACTGGCACAATGTTCTTTCATCAGGTGGGTGCCCTTCTATTGGGAAATCTTTCCCTGTAAATTCTGGCGGCTAAATTAGCATTTTGCAACAATTCTGCCTTAACAAACATCTGCATACCCGACGTTTGTGAACATTTTATTTTCAACCACTTATTCTTTTTTGTGCTATGTTTGCAAATGTTTAGATACCGAATAACGAGTGGAGGTGTCATGTTTTTTCAATTTTTTATTATCGTTGTTGACTGAAAATGCATTATCACTTAATAATTGAATGATTTTTTTTTTTTTTGATCTCATAATGATTAATTTTTTTTTTATCTTTCAAATATTCGTCAAAAAATGTCACAACTTCAAAGGCCTTTTTCTTAAAAATTGTTGAGTTTGGACCTCAAATTTTTTTTTGTTCAAAATGGGCAATTTTTTCAAGTGCAGAAACTTTTGTAGTCAAACCTGATACACTTTATACTTTATACTCGACAGCCAGTTTTTTTTAGTGACATTTCAGCCGATATTATTAACAAAGACAGATAAAATATTTTCCTAGGGGTAATATTTTCTCAAATCTCGAACTGATCCCTAGATAATAGGTCTGTTTCTGCAGAGATCACAAACCAGTCAAAGTGAATTTCATTGATCGAAACTAGTATTCTGTCTGTTTCTGACTGTTCTCAACCAATGAAATTTGCTCTGACTGGTTCGTGATTTCTGCAGAAACAGACTTAATGTAACCCTATTTTTGGTCGTTCTAAAAAGTTGACCGTTCCTAGACTTTTGAACAAAAAAGCTTTGTTGCAATATTTCAGGAACCGTGTAAAATAGGAACATGATATCAAGAGGTTTTAGTAACAATGGAGCGCCGAATTTATTGCAATAAAAATAAAGTGGTATTTCTATTTAAAAAAACGAAGTTACCCAAATTATCTGAAAACCGGTAAACTTGTAAATATTGTCGATGTCATCATTGAATCGGGCAACATCAATTACCCATATGCAGAAAATTTCGTAATTCTATGTCAAGCCGCTATGGAAATATTTGACCGTTCCCAGACTTTTGAAACACACTGTATAAACAAAAATGCTTGTTTTGATGTCCCCTACTACCCCTTAAAGTTTGTCGGTATCTTTTTGGGACACCCTGTATATAGTAGGTACTTAACAAATTAGAGAAAAATAAGTCCATTAAATGAAATTAGAATTGGTAAAATTTATTTAATTGAAAAAAATAAATAAAATACTTGAATAAAACAGCAAACAATATATAAATTGGGACGGCACTGGTTATAAAAATCGCGTGGGCCGAGGGCTACTGTAGTGATATATCCTTGCTGCTTAAAGTGCGACAAGTGAGTGAAGCTGTGTGGAAGGAATGCGGGCAGAAACCTCCTCATTGGCCCGAGATTAAATATACATATACGCGGGTCGTCGCGTCAGGGTAACCGCAATTTTTGCGATGCTCCACGTCGAGGACCCGTCGCGTCGTATAGTATAGGTTTTCGTCTTCCCCTCTGCTACTTCATACGTTCATACTCACTTGTCGCACTTTATATTATTATGAACCGGGAACGTTTAAAATGAAATATTTTCTAGGAAGTTAATAGAAGAGACTGAGACTGAAAAGAGCGACGTGAATGACGTGATGTATAATGCAGTGTTTCAACTCAGCATAAAAATACTATAACATAAAAGATATTTTATTATGCTAGTTTTACACTGACAATTAAAATTGATCAATTTGTTTGTCAATTTATTTGCCAATTTATGTTGGCTCAACAATGGCTCAACTTCGCTTTACACCGGATCAGCTTGTTGACAACACAAACGACAATAAACAATTCTACCAACTTTACCAGAATTTCAAGGTTATGTATTTTTATTTATGGCTCACTCAGAAATATATTTGAAGATGTTTAATAATAAAACTAGAAGAAACTGAAGGTAGAAGAATAAATTGAACATCAATAAGCAAATGATAAATGAAAATAATTATCCTCACCACTCTTTAATATTTTTAAAGAGTCATTTCTAGGTTGAAATCCTGAATTGACACAAAAATTGACGGAAAAATAGAACATGCTCTAATTCGTCAATAAATTGAGCGAGAACTTGGACAAGTTAAATTGTCGCCAATTTGGCGTTTTACATTATCAATATTTCTTGACAAGCGACTTGATCAATAAATTGACCAATAAATTGTGGTGTAAAACCGTCTTTATAGAAAAAAAATTACACTATAATATAGATACAAATTGATATAAACCAAGCTAAATAAAAACAATGAAACTATGCTTAGTTTTGCAACATTTCAAATTTATGAGCAATCCCTCTCAAAAAATCTAACATATTTCTTCTTTTTAAGTGCTCCAATAAACTTCCAGATTGTTGGGTGATCCATGCCCAATTCATTTTGTAATCTGCGATTCGCAGCCTCACAGTGGTTGTTCATTCTGTCCTCATGTTTAAGTAAGATAACAGTTCAGTATAACGGAAAAATATTAATATTTATTTACTATTATTATTATTTATTATTATTGTTATTACTACTGATAACTACTACGGATGCAAAATTGCTTGCTTAAAGGCTCGTTTTCACGGCGAGAGTACTCTCATGACAGCGCTCTCATGATAGTAACCTCGATAGTCCTATCGTGAAAGTGAGGTGTCTACACCTACCAAAAACTATCGTGACAGTAATCAATAGCAAAATGGCCGATACGCAGTTAACTGACGCGGTAGCTGCTGTAATTGGTGAAATAGTTAAAATTAAACGAAAAAGAAATAAAAAAACCAAGAAGATATGGGTGAGAAAATGGATTGCAAGAAGGAGGACACTTGGTGCTTCAGAAATACTTCTCAAGGAACTTGCTGTAGAAGACCCAAGAAGTTTTTTAAACTTCTTACGCCTGAATGAGGAAATGTTTAATACGTTACTGAATAAGGTAAGCAAATTTTGAAGTGATATAAAAGCCGTTTAACTAAGTACCTATGTTTTTTAAAGGTTAGCAGCAAGATACAAAATAATAATACTGTTATGCGAGAACCTTTATCAGCAAAGCTAAAACTTCAAATAGCTTGTCGATATCTTGCTACTGGCGACTCACTGGGATCTTTGCAGTACCTTTACCGAGTTCCAAAATGTACCATAAGCCAGTTTCTACCAGACGTCTTTGATGCCATATACGAAGTGCTGAAAGATTATGTTATGGTACGTTCGTAATCATTAATTAACACATACTAATTACCTAATTTATTTTTATTATTATAGTTATTCACAACCCTAATTACC